GATGAGGTAAATCCATGCCCACTTTTATCTTTTGATTAAGACATGAATACATACAAATAAATTGATACAGAAAAACACATGTTGATGCATCTGTGCAGTATGTGGATGTCATTTTATACTATATGCAGAAGAAGTCGAAGCAACAGAGTCATTCTAAATATCGATATACCACTACTAATTATTTTTTCAAAACGTACATTGTCATTGCTAGTGTTGTTCCTGAATATGAGAATAAAATCGTTGGCACTATCAAAGAGTTTGGTATACCTACTGGACTGCCTTGGCACCTCACAGATGAGGTTTATGTCCCTATAAATTGTAATGGGGGAGTTTCATTGGGTCTTGGCAGTCGTTGTATTGAAGGAACGACACATAAACGTGTATGATTCGATGTCCTCATCTAGGACTAACAGAAAATTATGCGCCGAGATTACAAAAGTTGTCTACAAAGTTGCCAAAGTACCTTGAATCCAGCGGATTTTATGAGCAAAAAAGCCGAACCAATATTTTTATTTTTTTTGGAACAAATGTCAATTATGATGGAAAGGAAGAAATGTGGTGTCTGTGGCAACATATATAACCTATGTTGTTAAACCACCACAGAATGATCTGCATGTGCCCCAACAGAAAGGATATATGTGGCAACATATGTCACAGAAAGAAGATATGTGGTAACATATGTCACAGAAAGGAGATATGTGGCAACATTTTATTGTCATGAAGTGTTAATTTTTGCTGATAATATTAATATTAATGGTTATTTTTTATTTTTTTGTTGGAACAAATGTCAATTATGATGGAAAGGAAGAAATGTGGTGTCTGTGGCAACATATATAACCTATGTTGTTAAAAAACACCACAGAATTATCTGCAATGTGCCCCAAACAGAAAGGGTATATGTGGCAACATATGTCACAGAAAGAAGATATGTGATAACATATGTCATAGAAAGGAGATATGTGGCAATATTATATTGTCATCAATTATTCATTTTTGCTGATAATATTAATATTAATGGTTATTTTTTATTTTTTTGTTGGAACAAATGTCAATTATGATGGAAAGGAAGAAATGTGGTGTCTGTGGCAACATATATAACCTATGTTGTTAAAAAACACCACAGAATTATCTGCAATGTGCCCCAAACAGAAAGGGTATATGTGGCAACATATGTCACACTTTGAATTATCAAAATTCAAAAACAAAATCGAAAAAGTTTAAAACAATCGTCCATTCATTTTCCCCCTCTCCTGTCCTATATAAAAGGTCGTTTCATATTCCAAATTTAATTTATTTTTACTAATTTCCGTTTTCTTGTCTCTTCTTTCCTTTCTTTCTCTCGTTCCATTATTCCTTCACAGATCAAGGTTGTTGTTGCGATATTTTCTACAACATCAGTGGTAATCTGTTGCGATTCCCTTCTACAACAAGGCGTTGTTGCCCTCATCATTTCTAGTTTATCGTTGATATCTTGTCAGGTAAAATTTAATTAGGGTTTTGAGAAATACTTACTGGTATTAAATCAGGACATTTTTAGTGGTTTTATCACGTATTTCTTTGTAGGATTGTTGGATAGTTATTCCTTTTGAAATATTATCTGATTTCAAAACCTTAATTTGTAGTTCGTTGGTTAGGGTTTAGGGAGGGTTTTTGTGGTTTGTTGGTTGGTTCATGTGTGGTATTGAATCGTATTTGTTGTTTGTGTTGTTGTGTTTGGTTGTTGTTATTTTGTTAAGAAATATTTGATTTTGTGGTTGCAGATACAAATATAATGGCTCCTGTCAAAAGAAAACTTATATTAACAAAAGAAACAACTGATACAAAGATCCAGAAGAGGCCTAGGACTAGAACTTGTAGGAAGAAGAATGAAAATTCGACTACCACTCTTTTAGAAGAACTAGCATCTGAAGTAGTTTCTTCTTCTCAAGTAGAAGTAGAATTTTCTCAAAAAGAATATGAAGAAAGAGAAAAAGAAAAAAATGAAGTAGACGATGATGGAGAAAGAGCAGAAGAAGTTGAGGAAGAAGAGCGAAATAAAAAAGAAGTTGAGGAGGAAGAAGAACAAATAAATGAAGTTGATGAAGACAAAGGAAAACAAAAAGAAGTTGAGGAAGAAGAACAAGAAAAAAATGAAGTTGAGGATGATGGGATCAAAACTATCAATGCACACACTTTTCCTATGCATTTACAACCTAATGCTACTGGTGATAGCATTATGAGTTCAGCAATGGAAAAACCTATCGACACCTTCATAATCACCCTCAAGCAGAATGGTTTGGAAGATTTTTTTCGGAATAGTTATTTTGGTCATTTTCTTGATTTGCCGGAGAATAATAATGCACGTTTTCAGATGACCATGGTCTATGAACTTCTAAAAAGAAGGTTCATTTTTCGGAATCCTGAAAAGAATGATGAGGTTTTGATTAATTATTGTGGCATGCCACTCTTCTTTGGCAGAAGAGAGTTTGCCATAGGTTCAGGGTTAAAATGCCTTCCTCCTTCTAAGCCAGTCCTTGAATTCATAGTAAAAAAAAAACCACGAAGACGAAAGAAAGGAGAAAAAGAAGAAACAAGACAGTCAACTGTGTAGCAGGACTTGATGTCCCTTGTTGGCACAAGCTTCAAAAATCCCGATTTAATATAATTGTTGAATGTCGAGGATACACCAAGGAAGCACAAGGAGTCATTGTGCTTACTTTGGTTTGTACATAATGTAATTTTGGCCAAAGATCTCAACAACAACATATCCCTTAAATGGGTGAATTTATCTCAGGATATTGAGTCTTTCAACAACTATCCTTGGGGTCATGAGAGCTTTGAATTAATTGTCAAATACTTGTTGAAACTTTTAGGACCAAAGACCAATAACTTATTTGGCTTTCCATGGGCTTTCATGGTAAACATAAATGTTCTTAATCTTTTTATATTATATTGAATAATTCAACATTTGATTTGTGACATGTTTTCCTTTTTATAGGCTTGGTCATTTGAAGTCATTCCTCATTTGACCCATCAAGTAAGTGTGGAAGAAGAGATCTCATCTCCAAGGATATTGAGATGGTTGAGATCAAAAACAAAAACTGTCAAAAATATTCCAGATCCT